CACAGTCGCTTTCCCGCCTTCCTAGCACCGGGGAGAGCGTGTGCGGGAGGCTTCCCGCGCTTCTCCTCTGCCGCGCGCCCCTCTGCCTTCCTTCACCCTCGTGCCTCCTCGCTCGGTACGTGCCCACGGGGCCCGGGACCCCCGCGGGAGCCCTGTCGCCCCCTGAGCGCCTGTGAAATTGCGGCCTGCGTTGAATTGCTATCAGTTGCCTTCTTAGCGAGTTGCAGCCTGGGCTGTGAGAACTTCCCTGGCTGTAGGCTCTGGTGGCTTTAATTAAAATTGCTGTGAACCACTATATGCTGCTTTATGGCGTGTGCAACCTTTAGAGGCCACACTTGTCGGAACATGGGACTGAAACGTAGTGCACTCTGCAGCTGAAGTACAGGCATCTGTCCCTACTCTAAGCACAGGCGTTATTTTTCAGTGTGTTTGGAAGAGTCCTAAGTATGGTGCTTTGCCGTGGAGATGAATTGTACAAGAGACCCAACGAAATTAAGTTCAAGTCACAGGAAGATGGGGTGATAGAACACTTACAAAGAAAACCTAGCACTGAGTTAATTACGGTTTATGTGTGTGAAAGAGTGGATTTAGCTGGGTAGTTGGGGAGATGTGAAGCTGTGTGGATTGACTTGTTTCCTTTATGAGAGGCATTTATCTTTCTGCTTAAGAAAATAGCTTTATTTGTGCACAAGGAAGAACGGTGACATTGTGGCACAGCTCTTTATTTTTCTGGGTTATGCATGCAATACCATTAAATGTCTATTAAAGTCTATTAATTCCTATCAATAAAATACAAAATTTTTGTACTTATTGATCACAGAATCATCACAGTTGGAAGGCACCTCTAGAGATCATCTAGTCCAAACCTCCTACTAAAGCAGGATTGCCTAGAGCACATTACAATCCAGGAGGGTCTTGAACATCCCCAGAGAAGGAGACTCCACAACCTTCCCTGGGCAGCCTGTTCCAGTGCTTTGTCACCCTCACCGTAAAGTTTTCCCTCATGGAACTTCCTGCGTTCCAGTTTGTGCCCATTGCCCCGTGTCCTGTTGCTGGGCATTACTGAAAAGAGCCTGACACCATTCTCCTTACACTCGCCCTTTAGGGATTTATAGACATTGTCTCCTCTCCGTCTTCTCTCCAGGCTGAAAACTCCCAGCTCTCAACCTTTCATCATATGAGAGATGCTCTAATCCCCCAGTCATCTTTGTTGCCTTCCACTGGACTCTCTCCAGCAATTCCCTGTCTCTCTTGAACTGGGGAGCCCAGAATTGAGCACAGTATTCCAGATGTGGCCTCACCAGGACAGAATAAAGAGGGAGGATGACCTCCCTTAACCTACTGGCCACACTCTTCCTAACGCATCCCAAGATACCATGTGCAAATCCCCAGTGGATTAAGGTTTCCTCAGACAATGTAGCTACAAGCTGTTTCTTAGAGATGCTGTCAGAGAGCTGTGTCCAGTTATTGATTGTCAATTATGTTACCTGAAGAGGAACTGTGTTGACCTAGGAACTTTAAAAAGAAGACTTGTTTTCATATGTAGTAGCATAAAATGTCTCTCTTTTTTTCTTCATCAGAAGATATTTAATAAATATTTAAAGTGTTGTTATCACTTACTAAAACTTCCAAGATCATCATATATTACTTGATAGGCTGTATTCTCACCCTCTCAGCATGTAGCTGAGTAAGTTTGAACTTATAGTTATTGAACTTGGTATCAAATGGTAAGCTCTTCACCTGCTCTTATTTTTGCTTCAGTGAACTTTTTCCACAGCACATCATAACTCAGATTCACAATCCAAAAGTTCATCATTATGTTTTCTGCCTCTCTTCCACCTCTCTCCAGAAACAACACAAAAGAAGTAGAGGCACAGGTAAACCTGAAAGAGGATATAATTTCTCTCTCTACTCTGAAATCAAGAGTGACAGATTTTTTGGATGAAACGGCTCTACAAGAACAAGATTGAAAGAAGCTATTTTTTTTTTTATTCTTTCAGAAAATAAAAGGAAAATGTTGAATGTGTTACTTGTTGACTCTCAGAAATTAAGAATCTGCACTCAGGATTCTTTCTGCTTCTCAGAGTCTTTGTTGAGGCCCATTGTCTCTGCAGCTTCTATTAAGAGATTTGTGCGGCCTGAGTAATCTTTAGATTAAGTTAAAGCTGAGCCTGAAGAAGATTGAGTATCTGCATATTTCAACTGCAAGGTCTGTTGTTCCTGAATTTATGATAAACATACTGGATAATTACCAAGCAAACAATCCAGGGATGGGGCATCCACAGCTTCCCTGGGCAGCCTGTTCCAGTATCTCACCACCCTCACACTAAAGAATTTCCTCCTAATGTCTAACATAAGTCTCCCCTCTTCCAGTTTTAACTCATTACCCCATATCCTCTCACTACTTATTAAAAGCCCCTCTCCAACTTTCCTGTAGGCCCTTCAGGTACTGGAAGGCTGCTGTAGTGTCTCCTGGAGCCTTCTATCCTCCAGGCTGAACAAGCCCAACTCTCAGCTTGTCTTCACAGGGGAGATGCTCCAGCCCTCTTAGGATCTTTGTAGCCCTCCTCTGGACTTGCTCCAACAGTTCCATGTCCTTCTTGTGTTGAGGGCTCCAGACACTGTGTTCCAGGTGGGGTCTCACGAGAGCAGGGGGAGAGCACAGGGGGAGAATCACCTCCCTTGACCTGCTGGCCACTTTCATCAGCTGCTTACAGCCTAAACTGTTTTGATTTGCATCTGACAGGTGCATCATAGAATTATTGAGAAAATGTATAGATTCAGCTCTAAAGTTTCTGAATACAGAATGCATAATATGGATGTAGCATATTAGTGACTACAGTGCTTTAGTGGGAGTTGATGCACAGACTTGAACTGTTTGCCTCTACCCATGTTGTTAACTTTAAAACATTAATGAGATACCAGTAGCTGTGCCCAAGTATACGGCTTCATTTAGAAGTCAGTCTCTGTAACACATGGGCATGAGTAATGAATGTTCCCCAAAAAAAGTACATTAAAAACCCAACCAAAACCAAACCTACTGGGACTCACTCCCATTTGATTTCAATCATATGAAGCTGGAATGCATTACTGACAATATTCAGAAACAGTATTACTGAAGCAAGAATCTGAACTGTCACTATATGAATAAATACAGGAGCTATGACTGATATAACAGCAATTAATATTAATTGGAATATTTCTGACATAACTGTTATCTTATTGACCACATCAATGAGGGAATTGGCAGCACCCATCTTGCCACTTAATTCCCAGGAACTGGATCTCTTTGGCAGATCCCTTGAACCTTGCTTCCCTTTTTGGCAAAAACAGCTTCCAACAGAAGGTAGCTTACTTTCCTACCTTTCCCAAAGACTTCCTCTGCTGTATTACCCCATACAGTAGTGTCGTTGATGTACTGCAGGTGGTCTGGAGCTCCACCTTTCTCCAGTGAAGTCTGGATGAGTCCATCACAGATAGTTGGGTTGTGCTTCCACCTCTGAGGAAGCAGATTACAGGTGTGCTGGGTGCCGCTCCAGGTGAAAGCAAACGGGGGCCTGTACTCCGATGCTCTGGGAATAGAGGAAAACACACTAGCAATGTCTGTAGTGTCATATCATTGTACTGCCTTCGACTCCAGTTCATATGGAAGTTCCAGCATGTCCATCAGGGCACTACTCATCAGTGGCGTAACTTCATTCATGCCATGATAGTTCACAGTTAACCTCCGATTTTCATCAGGCTTCCTCACTGGCCATGAAAGGCTGTTGAAGGGTGAGTGAGCCTTGCTGGTCACTCCTTGGCTCTCTAGTTGATGAATCAGGTTATGTATGAGGAGCAGGGAGCCTACGTTGGTACGATATTGCTAACAATGTACAGCAATAGAAGCAAAATCATAGAATCATAGAATGGTTTGGGTTGGAAGGGGCCTTAAAGATCATCTAGTTCCAAACCTCATGCCATGGGCAGGGACACATGCCCAGAGCAGATTGCACAAAGCCTCATCCAACCTGGCCTTGAACACCTCCAGGGAGGGGGCAGCTGCAACTTCCCTGGGCAACCTGTTCCAGGGTCTCACCACCCTAACGTTAAAGAATTCCTTCCTAATGTTTAACCTAAATCTACCCTCTTCCAGTTTAAAACCATTACCCCTGGTGCTATCACTACATGCCCTTGTAAAAAGTCCCTCTCCAGCTTTCCTGTAGGCCCCTTCAGATACTGGAAAGCTGCTATAAGGTCCTTTCTGAAATTTCCTAGCTCTTTAAGAGACAGGGTTGGAACAGGATTTGAGTCCCTTTTCCGTGACTCTCCCAGCTCTGTCCCTGAGTCATCATTTCCCCCCGGGCAGTCCGGCTTCCTTAGATGCTTCTGCGGGTCGCTACCGGAGAGACAAGGGCTGGCTCGGATTGTCACGGCTGCCCCCGCCGGCGCGGTTCGGCGCTGTTGGGCGCGGTTCGGCGCGGGGCCGGGTCGGGCAGCGGGCGGGGCCGCGGGCGCTTAAAGCGGCAGCGCTGCCGCGCAAGCCTTTCACAGTAAAGCACCTCGGAACATACTCTGGCAATGCAATAATAAAATCCAATAATAAAAGCCGCTCCCGGCGTCTCCCAGGTTAGGTCCAAGACTTCTCAGCAACAGATGGAGTTCGAATCTGAACTTCTGGTTAATTTAAGTAATTACAAGGTTTACTTCTGCTTGAACAAACGTTCAGTTGTCTGCGGAGTCTGGCAGGGGTGGAGTTAATTTTCTCAAAAACAGACAGTATGATGCTGTGTTCTGGATTTCTTACCAAAGCAGCGCTGGTAACACACCAACGTTTTAGCCGCTGCTGACCAGTGTTCATTCTGCCTCAAGACTTCCTCCGCATCTCCCCGGCCCTGCCCGCAAGTAAACTGGCGGTGCGCAACAAGCTGGGAGGGGGCACAGCCCGCACAGCGGACCCAAACTGACCAAAGGGATATTCCACACTACATGACGTCGTGCTCAGTGGTAAAAGCTCAGGGGGTGAAGGAGGAAGTGTGGACATGTGGGGTTGTGCCGTTTGTCTTCCCAAGTAACTGTTAGGAATGATGAAGCCCTGCTTTCCTGGGATGGGTAAACTTCTGCCTGTAGATGCGAAGTAGGGATTGTATTCCTTGTTTTGCTTTGCTTGCATGCACTGCTTTGCTTCATTTATTAAACCCACCATTTTTCTCTATTTTGACCTTCTAATTTTCTTTCCCATCCCACTGGGCAGTAGTGAGTGAGTAGCTGTGTGGGGCTTAGCTGCTGGGCAGGGTTAATGCATTGACCCTGTATTGTGATTTCCAGTAGGAAAAAATGAACTGGGTATCAAGATATCATGTAAGACTTCCTCAGTTAGGAGCAAAACACAAACAGGTTGTGGTGCATTTGCTATGAAATGTCATGTATTTTACTATTGCAGTTTTGGATAGCTTAGTGTGTACTAATAGTTTGAAGTGTGTCTCACAGATTTTGGTCAGTTCCTCAGCTTTGTGTGTTTTGAAGGGCTTTTGGCTTTTTAGTTTTGTGCTTTTTTTCTTATTTGTTGTTTGTGTGTTTTTCTTTGGTTGTTGGTTGGTTTTCTCAGCATCCTCTGCATATCTGTGTATATTTGATTTACCAATATATTTGTATTGAAACCTGCTAGGTGCCATTTTGAGTTCTAGTTGCACTTCCGCAAATTACTCTTTCCTACACGAATTCTCAGAATTAGTAAATTTGTGAGATTATTTTTAGATCTTGCACCCTGGCATTGTTGCTTACTCTTACATCTTACAAAACCTGTACAGGATCCTTTAAAAGAAGGGTTTGAGGGTGGTTTAGAAGGTGGTATTCCTCCCACCTTCTTTTCTGGCATCCTCCTAATCATTCTGTGGAAGGAGTGAAAGAAATTGGGTAAAGAGGCATACCATATACCTTTTTTTAGAGAGTACTCAGGTGACAGTAATGAGCAGAAGAATAAAAGCAAGACTTGAATTCTGCAAAATAACATAATCTTAGCAGAAGTGGCCAAGAAAATTAATTTTAAAACTTGTTGCAGGTCAGTTTAAGGTTGCTTGCCTGAAATTAGTAGGAATGCAATACCTGAAGGCATTGTGACTTAAATTCAGGAAGGCAGCTTTTGAAAGCCGTGCTTGCAAATCATAAATGAGGTTACTGCTTTATGTCTGGGCACATAAAATTTAATCCACGTTAATTTATCTTCATTACTCTTTCTCTATATTCTAAAGTTGTTATGTTATTAAAAGGTATTATACTTTTCCTTTGTGGCTTTAAACATTTATATTGCCACTTGGTGGCCTCATTTGATCAGGTAACAGATGATAAAGATTAAGTTAAGATCCTTTTTCTTAACAGGTGTGCAATTCCAACCTTTATATATAATCTTCCTATACATCCAGGGACAGTATATCCCCTTTTGCAACTGGATATGTGTACACTGTGTTAACTGCTGTGGCTCTTGAGGGCTTGAATTGCTGATATTGAGGTGGTCAGACTTGAGAGCTCTTCAGTAAACATAAAACCGAGTGGCCGACTTTTCTCCCCATTCTTCCTTGCTCATCCTTGATGTTTCAATATTTTTCACCTCATCTCAATCAAAAACAGGAGAGGATCTAATCTGATATCAATACAATTAAACTTTTTTTTTTTTTTTTAGAACTAGAGCTTGTTATGATTTTGCCAGGCTTCTTCTCTGCTTATTCTGAATCCTAAATTGTTATTTTCCAGATTTTATTACTTTCAGATGTTTTTCTGTATCCCTTTTGTGAAACTATATCCCAAGTCATTGCCCCTTTGTGGTTTTGTGTTATTCATACAATTAGCTGTGTTACAAAATGCTTGTATATTATTGATGGGTTTGCTGTTTTAGTGTGCTTTTGTCTGAGTACCAGGCAAGAAAATATTGAATATATCATGCTTTGTATACTTTGACTTGTAGAAGTCTTCTGCCTTGGTATACTTCCTGTTAATGATGGGATGGAAACTCAGTCCCCTATGCATTGATTCTGAACTTACTGTGTCAGGCTCTGTTGGCTAAAGATTTGCTATTGCCTCAGAGCAAGAAGGTGGAGTTTCACCCTGCTCCAGTCTTGTCTCATGGTTTTCTTGCAAAATCCATTTTGTAGTTGTATAGCTCCAAAAAGCCTCAGGATCTTCAGTCACTCACTACAAGACACACTGCAAGTTGTAAAAAAAGACAACTTGCTACTACACAGGTAATGATTTATAGTTAAAATAACACATTGTTTTTGTACCAATATTTGACTGTCTTCTAAAAATGTTGTGGTAGAATCAAAATTCCTGTGTCCATTCCTGATCTTAGTGGCTGTTGATTCTTTAAAGCAAAATGTCCTTTCACTTCTTGGTGCCTTTTCATTAACTTTTTTAGCTACTTGCTTTATTTTCTGTGATTCCTAAGTGTTTTTGTTACAAAGATTCCAAATTAGCCCAAGGTTGGTGGTGTTCTGGGTACTATAATTGTGGTGATATGGGTAAACATTGCAAATGTTTACATTTAATTAGATAAATGTTGGACACATATTTCTTTACACAGAACAGTTTTCTGGCAA